TCTCTCTCTGCTTGTCTCTAGTCAAATTAAAATAAATTAAGGAATAAATAAAATTAAATTAAAAAAAAATAAGGGATTACTATGTGACCATCCCACACGGAGGGTACTTTCTCACCTTCTCTCTGCCTTTTTATAGTGAGTGCACACTCTGGCAAAATTTGTTTTGTTTCTGCCATAGGGCATGTGTGCCAAAGAGAGACTGAGAGGAAAAGTGAGAAATCACCCTCCCCCCCGGCCCAGGTGGACGGCCACGCTGCAATCCCTTCTCCATCCTCTCAGGACTTAGGGCACATATGCACGTGTACCCTGCATGATTTTCAAGTTGCCAGGTCTGAGACTTGAACCGTGATCAGCCATGTGGGAATCCAGCACCCTAACCACTGTACCACCTGCTGGCCATCCCCCTGGCAAATTTTCAGAAAAAAAAAGAAATCAATGGCCAAAGAGTGAGAAAGAGACACACTGAGGAACCTTTTCACCCTTTGGGCCAGTTTTGGGCCTCTGTGGTCCAAAGCCATAGAGGCACCATGGAGTAGAGTTTTTCTTTGTATGGTTATCCAGCGAGTTGATTTATGACCACTTTCCTAAATAGCTAATACTGAAGCGCAATGGTGGGATCCTTGAAAAATGAATAAAACACAGTTTGAATGGGCACAGAACATTCGAAAGGTATGAGAAGGTATATTCCCTTTGGCTCTTGTCAGCACCAAACCTCTTAGAGGCAACCAATGTGACCAGTTTGTGTTTCCTTTCATAGATATTCCCGCGTCTCTATTATAGTGATAAAACTATACCCACAAAACATGAGATCTGAATAAAATACTGTATGGATTCGTCTCACTTCACGTTAACTACCTAAGCCGTGCCAAGTCTTGTGCTGGATTCCTGGATAACACACAGTCTAGAACCCCAAGAGTGAGTGTGTGTGTGTTCTAGTGAGGGTGGGGGAGCAACAGGTACCAACGGACCATAATGAGTACAAGGTAAACACAGTAAGTACTGGAGAGTGACAGGCAGTGACAGCATCACACAGTGGTTAGAACCTGTTCTCTGAGACGGATTTGGCTTACAGCCCCAATACTGCCACTTGCTGTCAGTGTGACCCTCTGTAAGTGACTTAACCTCGGCAAGCCTGTTTTTCCATCTGTCAGGACAGATTAATAATAGTACTTACTTCATAGGGTTTTTAGAAGAAGTAAGACAAAGTATATAAAGTAATCGGCAAGTATGAAGCGCTCAATAAAGTCTTAAAGACAGTTGTTTAGGGGCCAGCAGATGGTGTAGCAGTGACGTCACTGGATTCCCACGTGGCCAACCGTGGTTCGAGCGAGTCCTGGACCTGGCGACTTGAAAATCGTGCCAGCTGCATGTGTATGTGTGCCCAAGATCTCTGGAGGGGAATGAAAAAGGGATTGCAGCATGGCCATCCCCACTGTGGGGGGTGATTTTTCTCTGGCCCCTTTCACTCTTCCTGGTGAGCATACACACCCTAAGGCAAAACTTCCCCACCCACCCCCCAAAACATGTTTAGCTTTCAATAAAGGCAGGTCACCATCATTCTGGTCCACAGTGCATTACTGGAAATTCACAAAGCTCAGAAAACTGAACTTCTTATTTTAAAAATAAATTTGGTAACAAAGTATAATCCTGTTAACTTTAGGAATATTCACAAATGTACTCAAGTTAGTATGAAGTCATACACATCACTGTAGAAATATCAGTGTGTGTGGTTACTGGGTGCTGGCCCACATCCTGTTGGAGGTATCACTCCAAATTCTGAAACATCTGGCTATACTGGTTTTTGGATATTCTTGCTAGGATTTTTTTTTTTCCTTTTGGAAGGCCTCTGTTTTTCTTAGTCCCTTGGAGTACTTTTCATTTTACATATCTCAGGAAAAGTCCTAAGGAACCCACTCAGGATTTATACTTACAGTCCCTTGATTGCTATATATCTTGACTACGTTTGGGAGTCAAGAAGCCAGACTTTTCTTCCCTTTACCAAGCCCCTCTAATTCTGTTTCATTATCCCTAGCAACAGTGCCTAGCATTTACAGGTTCTGGTTCCTGTCTTCCTCTTGATCTTGCTGCGGGCAGGGGGCAATGGTAGGCTGCCCTCCGTGGAGGAGTCCCGGAAGGCTCAATCGCACAGCCTTTGGGACAGGGCCCTATGAGAGTCAACTCAATTACTCTGAGCTTCTACAAGAAGTCGGATCCTCATTCCTATCCCATGGGTCACTCTCGCTAAGATATAGCCCTCCTCCTCTTTTAACACTTGAAAATAAGATTCCGAGAATTTGGGCTCTCAGCGCTTCCTGCACAGAGCAGGACCAAGCGGGCCCAGAACCCTAGCCCGCCCAGAACCCTGGCCGGCCCGCGGGCGGCTACCCCTCCCGCCCTGGAGGACCGTGGGTGGACGCTCTTGCAGGGTGCCTCTCGCTGGTCGGGGCGGGGGTGGGCGGAGCCAGCGCCGCCCGGGCTGTGGAAGCGGAGGGTGGGGACACTGTGGCCCGGCTCTCGGTGGTGCGGGAGCT